CCACCCCACAAGTGTGCCCCGCTCCGAGAGCCCACAGTGCAGGGGGCAGGCGCTCCGCCTGCCTTTGCTGCACTTGGTGCAGGAATGACCCTGGGCAAGTCCCCAGCTTCTCTGGGATCGCTGTTTGCAAGCAGGCAACGCTCTCCCCACAGGGCTGCCATGTGAGGGGATGAGAAGGGCCGTGGGACCACGTTCTCCGTCCCACAGGCCGAGAGGAGATGCTCATGGCAGCCAGATTCTGAGATCTCTGCATCTGAAATCCCACGACCCTAAAGAACCCCCTTGCGGCAGGACCTGACTTCACACTGGGATCCTGGCTTCTACATTCACACCTGTCATTAGTCCCCCCGCTTGCGTCATGGTTGTAACTACTGACCCACAAAGAATACAGGGCTGGGCCAATTCAGAACTGAGCTCCGCCCTGCGAGGAGAAACATGAGCAGGAAGGAGCCGTGGCTCCCGCCTCGCCGATGGGACCCGCCTGGCCCCTGCACTGAGGACAGTCATCCAGCCAGACTCTCTGGATTTGAGAAACGGAGGGGCGAGCTCCCTACTGGGAAAGCATCCTGCCCACGCTCCTGAGTGAGGTCCAGCTTTTAGTCTCCCACCTGGAATTTGTCTTTCAGCACCATCATCACGATCTCGAAGGACTTCTCCTTCCTGAAAGGCATGTCGTAGGTGATCTCCTCCCGCCCCCATTTCTCGTTTTTCAGAGTGTTGCACACGATGCAGTTGGTCCTTTTGAAACGGGGGTTGAAGTGGAAGACCACGTCCGCTCGGGGGTTCACGCTGCTGCCGCACTGTAGGTCCACCTGGAACCTGGGAGGAGAGACGGCACCTGAGCACCGGGGAGAGGGAGGCCGCTCGGGGTGGGGGCCCACGGCAGGGACTCCAGGCGGAGGAACACATGGCGGACTCTCTCCTCATTCACCCACAGGAACTAACCACCCTTCCTTCGCTTCTTCCTTAGTAACGGACCCCGGAGCTGGGGCTGGGGCCCCGTCTGTCCAGAGGGAGCCTCCATTCTCCGGCCTCCCTAGTCCATCTCCTGGCCTTCCCCACAAACAGCACATGCGCCCACCCGGCTACCCAACGCACGATGTGAGGCTGCAGTTCTAGCGCCAAGAATCACGGGAAAGGGGCCTTCACCTGGGACAGCAGAGCGGACGCCAGAGG